CCCCCCCCCCCCCCCGTTAGATAATATTCAAGCGAGAATGTCGTTCTGTCGCATTGAACGAAGACACAAAATGAATAGGGAACAAAACTTTCCAGAAGCAATAATCAATTATATATAGCTGGTTAACAGCAGAAATATCAAATACGAGCGAAAAGTACTTGAGAGTTTAAACGTAATGTTTTCTTTACTAGTGCGTTCAGTCGAAACTGTCATAATAATGATAAAACGAATTTTCAAAGTTTCACATATCTCTCAGAATAACAAGATATAATTTTTAATTACCAGTAAAATTTTATCACTTGGAGAAGTCATGTATCAATTTTAATACTACACGGTTAATACTAAACGCGGTTTTCAATCGGTACTCCAGTGCCGTTTTAAGAATTGCAATAATATAATGAACTTCCTATTTTATTGCGCTATTATGTACACGATATTATGAATAATATTATCTTTTATATACGTATATTATGAAACGAAGAGATACGCTATATCGTGATTGCGGCGTATGTAACAAAACTTTGCTCGCAAGCGAGTCGCGACAAGTTTCTTTATTAAATTTAGCGAAAGGCTACGAGCAATTTCGACGGGTCTGTTTTATTTGGCGACAAGAAATTCGAGCTCTCACGAAAGGCCGCTAGAATTGGCGAAGTTTGGAACGAACGGGTTACAAGAGCCAGCCATGCTTGTACAATGGGCTCAAGCTAATTTAATTATGAATCAACGCCATTGACCACCTTTCCACCTCGCAATCTGCTCCATTTCCTCAATTTCCTTTCCTTCCGTTCATACGGCCGTGACCAACATTTTGCTTTTAATTTAATTTAGAAAAGATGCAAACTCAATTTAAAAAGATGTAATATATCCTATCATTTAATAAGGGTACCATCTAATTTTCTTATATAATTTGAAACGCATTTCCACAATTGCAACTAAATTGAATAACTAAACGTCTTTTCATCCGCGAAAATAAATCATTTGTTGAAATTAACAAGGTAATACACAAAATAGATGAATCAAATAGTAAAAAAGAGCAGAAAGGAAAACTACAAGAGCAAGAAAGTACACGTAATGATCCGACGTGGTATATTTCGAATCGCGCTATATCGTTCCGTCTTGTTTCCTGCCTTTATTTCTAGTCTATGGTTTCCATCTGTATCGTGTCGCCGACAAAAATGAGAATTTATCACGTCGACTCGTGAGAACGGGTATAAATCCGCGTGTTTCCTTGTGTTCAACGAACAAGGTAACGCGCCAGCAGATAGCAATAGCAGGTTTAATCGCGATACTTGTAGCGCGTTTATCTCACTCGATGGTCCATTAAATCCCATGGCTCTGGATAATATCGAGTTATGGCTGACGAACCGCGGAATGTGCGGCTCAGCGATTCCCTGGCGCATTTCGAATTACACGCTGAAATCGAGGTCGAGACGCGGTTCGTTTCGATTCGATGCTACCAGGACGATCGCGCTCCTTCGTGACCTCGAATCAAGAGGCGCGAGAATAGCTTCTGCCTTTTGCGATGTTTCGCGAAGGACGTATGTAGACACGCGAGGCCTGGCATAGTGGGTCGCGTCCTTGTAGCTAGATCCTCTCCTAAATTTCGAGATTTTACGGTCCGCGAAGTCGAAGCCACCTCGTAAAATATCTGCGGCGATGGAAAGTCGGACAGGATAAGGAGACACAACCCTGGATAGGGCAAGAGACGCGACATCGGGGACGAGATGTAACGCCAGTAAAAGCTAGGCAAGAACAGGAGAAATAGAGAACCGTAGAGTTATCTTTCAATTTACTCCGAAATCTATCCTCGTTCGGCGAGATCGCAAATAGACGCCGTCTCTCTCTCTCTTTCTCTCTCTCTCTCTCTCTCTCTCTCTCTCTCTCTCTCTCTGTCTCTCTCCTGTTTTAAAATTCAGATTCACAACTTTTGCTTAAACGTCTAGTAGATAGACCGAAAACTACATTCCCATTTTTCAATTTTTAGTTCAAGCACAATATATCTCGAGTCTCGCAAAACTCGCGCAAAAATATTCCAAAAATTCACGAGTGTGTGAATTCAATCATTACTGCTATTATAAATTACTGTTATAAATCGTGCAATATTACCAGTTTCATATTATCGATTGTTCACTTCGAAAGCTTATTGGTCTATATATATACAGGGTGTTTCCAAATTAAATGGCAAAACTTCGGGAGCGTGTAGAGGAGTAAAAAACTAAGAAAAAAAGTCCTATAGACATATGCTCCTTTTTGCTTTGTTTCGCAGGAAATCACGAAAAAAGAAAAAAATATATTTAATTTATTATTTTAATTATTTTATTTATAAACTTTTTAATGAAGATTTTGTTCG